CTTGTAATTTTTCAACGTATATTCAAAAATTCATAAGTAAAAAGATGTAATATTGTAATCATGAATAAGACCTATGAAATTACACTTATTTTCTGAAATTTTGATGAACTTTTCATTCTGCCATCACAAAATTAATATCGGTCCTATTATGCTGCAGTAACTGTGGCAGTAATATTGATCATTAACTAACAAATTTTTAGCTCTAATTGCACTACAACTAATTTAGCAAGATTCATGTTCTTAAAACAAGATTATTAAGTTCTTTTGGTCAAGTTTAGTAAATTCGATTTTGTAACAATTTATCAATTGTAGTCATAGATTAAAGTAGTTACAATGTATGATCAAACTTGATAAATAAATTATTGCAAAGTTTTTTGGTCAACAGATAATTGTATACGATTTGCTTTTGTTATTAAAATTAGTATTTTTAAAAATTATAATTTAATTTATCGATTATTGTAATAAATATCAAATTATCATGATTAATTGTATGCATTTCGATTGTTATAAAGATCAGTAATATTTTAATTATATGATCAATAAAGAAATCAGAAAATTTATCACTTAATTGTGAATAAATTGTCAAGTGTCTCTTTTTTTTTTTTTTTTTTTAATGATTGTTAAAACAAGTATAAAAACAAATATGAATGTTAACAGAAATAATGTTTCATTCACCATCAGTAATCATGATGCCAACATATTCCAAAAAACGTTGTCAAATGATACTACTAACAGTCAATCATGAAAAAACAAAAAAAATTAAAAGAGTAACAGATTTTCTTGAATGCCTTGATAATAAAGATTTAAATAATGCTCTAGATCTTATATATAGTGCTAAAAAACAAAAATCACTTATAAATTCTAAAAATAATCTTATCAAACTTATCCAAAGCTTAAACAATGAAGAAAAAAAAAATGCAATCAAGCTGCTAGAAAATATGAGATACCCTAAAGAAAAGAATAAAGGAAAAATTATTTCACCATATTTACAATAGCAATTAGTTAAAGTAATTTCAACTTTTCTTTATTGGCCACAATCAAGCTATACTACATTGCAAAAAGAATGTAATTGGCTTTGATCTCAAAATAAAAAATTAATTAAAAAAAACCAAACCTTAATTACAAAAGCCAAAACATTCGAATCATAAAATCAGCACCTTAAATACAAAACTTCACATCAAATGTTAGCTATACATTCTTTAGTATCTAGATCTAAAAAAATTTCTTCAGATATATTTAAAAAAAAGTCAAAGAACTTTTTAAATCAAATGATCAGCACTATTCTCCAGATATGGTTTGGCTAACAATAAAAATAGCACAAGTCGGCCAAGTTTTAATACACTCGACTGTTGAGTGTACAAGATTAATCTACAAGTTTTTAACAGATGAACCACCAAAAAGTTGGCTTTCAAGAAAGCATATTACAACTTGGCACAAGCAAGTCTCTGAGTTGGCTATTTCAAATTTTGCTAAACATACTCAACAAACAAGTGTTTTTAGTATTTCTGCCAATAAATTAACTCATGATCAAGATAAAAATCTAATTATTTGTTTTATGTATTGGGACAAGAAATAAAATTATCCTATAGCCAGTATGGTTAGTTTGCAAGTAATAAAAAGATATAATGCTGATACGATTACAAAATCAGTTATTGATATTTGTTAAAAATATAATCTCGATGCACAAAAATATATGACATGGCTTACTGATAACATAGCATATATGTTAGGAAATACTAATAGCACTATAATTAAATTTAATAGATTAACAAATTCTAATTCAACCAGAATTGGATGCACATTACATATTATCAACATTGTGTTTACCAATTTTGAAAATGAAGCCTTTGGACAGGTATTAGAGTTTTCAAGAAAACCTCATCCATTTAATCTTTTACATCTTACTTGGTATCTTCATGATGGCTATGGAAATAAGAATAGTAATGCTCTTATGAATATCAAATCAGAATATATCCAAGAACTTTATAAATCACTTATTGGATATTGCTATTCACAATATCAAATGCCACTACAAACTCACTGAGGCTACGAGTTACGTATGGCTAAGCAATATTTAGAAAGAAAATAATCGTATCTTCAATTTGCAGAATAGTTCATTAAAACCTTAGAAACTTATTCTAATATGGCTATATCTTATTTGAATGATTGATATCTTTTCTATACTTGGCTAAATGATAAAAAATTAAACATTCAATTAAAATGTTTAGTAAAATTTGGTGATTATTTTTTTAGTCCATTAATAGAGTTTCTTGTTGGTTAAGATGTTGTACCACAAATTTTTGATAGTGAAAATTGGGTTAACTTACCTCCTGGATGACGCGCACATGAAATGTCAGATAAAGTTCGTGAATAGTTAGATTTCTTAATGGATGTAGTAAATAACTTCAACATTTTTTTTTCAGAAGAATTATTAGAAACACTAGAATTGTTAAATGAGATGGAGTTTGAAGAAATATTTAGTTCATTAGAAAGAAGAATGAAAAAAGCATTAGTCTATTTTGAAAAATGGATAACTCAATGGCTAAAACTACCTTTGTCAGTTTGTCGTTTGGGAAGAAGTCATGTACAATCTTTTGCTAAAAGTTATTGACATATTATTTTAAATATTTCAACAGTTTTTGAGCCATCCAAACAGGAGATAATATATATTCACCAACTTGAAAATAATCTAAAAGATCACAATTCAAATGATTTTGGATTGAATGCACCCTATCTTTCAGATCCAAATTTTTGTGAACAATTTGATAATTTTTGCAGTGTGTTAAATTCTGAATTACCAAATTATCCTCTACTTTATGAGTTTGTTACTACAAAAATTTATTATATAATTGTACATCAGCAACAAGTTGAGGGCATGTTCAATAAACTAGATCTTAAGACCCACCATAATATGTCATTAGATCTCAAAGAATCCAAGCTACGTCTTTCACAAACAAAATTTTCTAAAGAGGATGTTAAGAACGAAATTGTTAGTGTTAGACAAAATAATAAAAAAGAAAAAAATAAAGTTGAAGAGGTGGATTTTAGTGAGCAAAATGCGTTAATGAAATTTAATGAAATTTTTACGTAGCAATAGCGATAGCTTAACGTTTTTTTTATATTACAATAAATTAGCCAATCACAATCGTTAGAAATCTGTACTATGGTAATCTATTAAGGGTCCACATATAGGTTTGATTTTATTAGTTGACCGACCACCCCACCGTAGACGGTCCGTAACAATAGTATGTACTGGTAGTACAGTAGGAATCATCTGATCTTTGTCAAAAATAATATTCGTTGTTAATAATAACATCTATTAAAATTTTAATATTTTAAAAAGATACTGTTTGTGAATAAAATAAAAAAAAAATTGAAAAGAAAAGATCCGGAATTGCGTGAAATATTGCGATCTAAAAAAAATTTTTTATTCCTTGTTTATGATCGCCACTGTATATTTTCAATCATTGCCATTTCACTATTCCACTGTTTAAATGTTTACCAATTACACCATTACTGATTTGATGATTAGTGAAATTATTCCAACATCTTTACGTTTAACTGCTAAAAGAAAATTGCATTTATAGATTTGAATGCAATCTAATTATAACATTTTTCAAATTTTGGGCCCTTATATGTAATTATTTTCATTTTGACCCCTATCTGTAATTATTTCAATTTTTACGGACCCTTATACTTAAATTCCTTAATTTTTAGTATGTATCAACAAAATAATGCCACGGTAACAACACTAGGAAGCGTAATAAGCAACGCAACAGATGAATTTGATGAAATACTAAGGAATATAGAAAATCATAAGAACAGGAAAGAAAGGTTGCGATATTTAAGAAAATTTATCAGAACCTTGAAACAGAAAATTATGCGAAAAGGGTTTAAACCAAAATTAATGAAATTGCTTAAGAAAGCAAGAAATATATTCAAAAAGTAAAGAAATATACCGAGGTTATATTAATTTATTGTTTGGGTTTAGACGTATTATCTACATTAGATTTGGTTTATTTTTTTTTTATGTACTATATCTATTTAATTTAGGTGATTGAATATAATTGTTGTATTTATTTTATTTAATCTTACAGGTAGATATCAAAAACAATGCGTTAAATAAAGGTTCGCTAAAATAAATATTGGGTAGTTGGATATAACTATTACAAACGTACTTTTTTGACGTTTTAGAATGACTTTCAATTCTTTTGAAGTGTGAAAGGACAAAGTAATTAATAGTGGAGAATTATACCTTCTTGTTCTTGAGACATGAATGACCTTGAGTCGAACTCATTTTTTTTGAAATATGAATATCAAAATACGGTAAACCGGTTAAATTGTATGATAACCTTTTAGTCCTCGTTGCATAGTTAATTCTTGTCGCAAAATTCGGATGATTGCAAAGTTTAAAATCCTAATCAACGAGATACATCAATTTCATCATCATCCACTGATGCTTGTCATCATTTGAAGGCCTAAAAAAGCATTTGTTCAAATGATAGCAATTAGTTGCTTTCACAATTAATTATTCGGTAAGCGCTTCTTTGCTATGCTGCATATGATAATATTTGACTAAGTTTAATTAAAATTATCGACTCGATTAAGCTTATAAAAAATTTATCAACTACAAACATTAGAGAGAAATTGTAGGACGAACGAGAAGCAGCATCAGCCAGTGATTTCCCACCTCACGAAGCTGGTAGCTAAATGAGAAAAAGGTGACCATCAATATATGGCGGGAAGGGTTGGATCGAGAAATTTTGTTTGTCTAAGATTATTGTGTTGAAAGTGATTTTTTGTCGGTTCTTGTATATTGACTATGGTCGGTGGCTTTTCTATTACGTATCTCTAGTTACATATTACTTCGTGCGATTTACGTTAATTGATCTCTTCTCTGATTTCGATCCAGCCCTTTTCGTTGGGTGCAAGGATTGTAGCATTTGGTGTGTAACTTGGGCCAGTTCTACCCTTTCTTTCGATCTGTTGACACTGACAACATGCAGGAACTTCAATCCCATTATAATATAAAGTCATGTTTGAGATTTGAAGAATTTGAAGGTGCGGAACACCCATCAACTGAAAGTCCACTTATTCCACCTTCAGTAAGAAATGGAGAATCGACACGTCAACTGGCCTCTCAGTATTTGATGTTAATCTGACTGTGTATGAGTGAGCGATTTTGGTTAACAGCGTCTAATGAAAAATTATATCCACTGTTTTGAAGCTTGGGTATGTCATGAGACGGTTTCTTGATGTGAAAGTGATGATTCACGAAATTCATTACGGCGTTTGAAGTAGCTAAAGCAACCAAATCCTAACATTACTATAATTATTAATATTACTATAATTATTAACATTCCAAGGACTATACCAACTATTTCTTAAGAAAAAAATCTAGACATGAAATATAAATTGAAATCAATCAGTATTTATTGTGGATACCAGCATTGAGAACTATCCTGGGCCTTCATTTATCAAGAACGAACTTCGATTGTACTTGTGGAATCAGATGAAAGATCAGTCGTTAGGGTTATTGTAAAATTAGACATTATATATGATGAATGATCACATTATTACAAGGCAAATGGCTTTTGTGTGAAAGATGGAAGAATGACCTCATTGGCGTTTCCGCATATGAGAAAAGGTATTTAATGATCTAATTAGGGATATAACATGTAAGATACCAAAATTTAAAATATTGGAATTATTACTCGAAGAGCACAAAACATTAAGGTCGTTATTATTATCTTTTTTATTATCATAATAATATCCATTAATTGAGAATGTATTTTATTAATAAAAAAAATTTATAACTTTATTTGAAAGAATTTTTGGTTATTGATGCAGTCAGGAAATGAGAAAACCAACATGAAAGAAAGCTAAAGAAGCTTCAAATCATGAAGTATGAAATAAATCTTTTAAAGAAAAACGTTTTTATAAAAAAAATTTTTTAATAAAAAAATCAAGGAATTACCTTCTAGGCCGTATAAAATTTTTAAAACAAAATTTATTTCTTTGATCCAGTCAATATATCCATAAACTAGCTCTAACTGCGCATAACTTAATATTATACTTTATAATTTGGATATCTTTACCAAATAATTGCGAGATAAATAATTTAATAAAATCTTTTTCTCGTTTATAATATATCGATATCATCATTGGCTATAAAGTAAACATTTAACTATATGAATAAATATAAGTCTTGCCGTTATAGACTAGTAAATTGAATTAACACATACGCGAAATATTGTTACGACAGTCATCAGAAATTGAAAAATCGAGAGTAGTAGAATCTATAAAATTAAAAAGTAAAAATTTTTATCTAACAAAATTTAACATATAGTAAGAGTAAATTATTTACCATAAATTTTCACTGATTTTGCAGGTACAATAAATGAAGAATTAATTGGTTTGCTAAGATTTTTAAATTGGAGTAGTCTACTTGTAAGTTTATCTTTAGAGCAAATTGGCAATTCGGTTGATAATGTTGGAATAACTGCATCCGCAGACTGAAATGCTTTTAATATTGTTAATTCATCTTTATTTTCCGCACTACTATTATCTAATATCTTATACCATATTGATAATTTTTTATGTATATCAGATACAGTTGGTCTATCAGAAGGAATAGCATTCATACATTGATTTGCTAATTGGATATAGCATCCAGGAGTGCCTTTAGCAAATTTAGGACGTAATCCATTACATATTTGAATAGCTAGCGTTTCATCATACTCAATATCATAATGAGGAGGTTTTCCTGTAGACATCTCAGTCATAATGATACCCAAACTATAGATGTCAGCTGCTGTTGAATACGGTTGTTTATTTAACACTTCTGGCGCAACATAAGGTAAAACGCCGTAAATACCATCTTCCAAATTAGAATCATCATTCTTTCTAGATAATCCTAGATCAGCAATATAAGATATTAGGTCACCATTAATATATTGATTTTGCAATATATTACCGCTATGAAAATCTCCATGAACATATTCTGCTTTGTGTACATTTATCAAGTTTTCAGATATATCAACAAGCTGTTTTAATTTGCTTTTCCAATTGAGTTCTCTAAAATTTAAGGATAGGAAATTACGAAGACTTCCTCTATTTGCATATTGAAATACCGTCAAATATTCGTTATTAGTTGTGTCTTGGGTTAGTCCATACACTTCAAGATTATTACCCATTAATCTAAATTCTATGTAACTTTTAAACTTGTTGATTAAAATAAAAATGTATAAGTTAAATAATTTGTCTATATTAGATCATAAATAAATAAGGCATTTTTAACATACTTCTTTTAAAAAATTCTTCCGTGAACCAGGTAAAGTTTTAAGTGCAACTACACATGATAGTGTACGTGATTGTTGATATTCGTAATTTTCTCTTTTTGACACTATTCTTTTACCATCTAACCACGTTGCAGAAAATACGGAGCCAAATCCCCCTTTACCAATAATTTGAATATTTTTTAATCTATTAAAAGGAATCCATTCGATTACATCTTCGTGGCATTTAGCTTTAAATTGAAATTCTTTAATGCAATCGTCAACATTCTTATTTCCGCTTGTCCATCCTTGTGCTGTTTTCTGAGGGTCACACGTTTGACACCAAGCGTAAGATGTGTTATTTCGGTTGCAATTTACACATTTTCCACAATTTTTATGTCTTTTAGAACAAAATTCATCGAATACTAACATAAACTCATCCTTTGCGGTATTTTGAGTTAGTCCATATATTTTAGAACCATTATTCTTTAACCGTACACAATTTAAAAACTTATTAAACATGTAAATAACTGTATATTAGAAACTATATATCATGTAAACAATAATTAAATATTTTAACTTACTTCTTCTAACATATCTGATAAACTTTGTGATCTAGTCAATATTTTAAGATCCACTTTATATGACGGTAAACGTGACTGTGTATATTCATATTCTTCATTTTCATAAATATAATTACAATTTACATAACGTATTCCATCTAACCATATTGCTAAAAATCCATCACCATTCTTTTGAATATTAATTAAATTGTTAAAAGGAATCCATTCGAATACATCTTCGTAAGAAGTAGCTTCAAGTTGAAATTCCTTAATGCACTCGTCAATATCTTTATATCCACTTGTCCATCCCTGTGCTGTTTTCTGAGGGTCACATGTTTGACACCAAGCTGATGATGTGTTATATCGATTGCAATTTGCACATTGTCCATACATTTCATTTCTTTTGGAATTAAATTCGTCAGATTCTCTAAACACTAACATATATTCGTTTGTGATAGCTGTTTGGGTTAATCCACAAAAATTTTTATGCTCCAATTGATAATCAGATTGCACATATTTTTTAAACTTATAAAATATATAAAAAGATATAAGAAATTATGGTTATATAAATACAATCTTAACTAAATAAGCTACATATAATAAATATTATGAGTGCTGCGGACTTTCAAGTCTATTGTATATTATTTACCAGGCTCAGCCGTTGAAGAGTCCAATATATTTAAAGAGAAGTCTTGGCAGCACAAGTTTAATAATGTATAATTTGTGTCGAGGCTAAATCCAGTAAATAATAAATTTGAAGTCCGAAATTGCTTTTTTTTCCTTGGAAGCACTCACATACTCGTACAGTCTTACCTCTTTTAAAAGATTTACTAAATTTTGCGTTTGCGTAAATATTTTAAGTTCCACTTTATATGATGTTATACGTGACTGTGTATATTTATATTCATAATAATGTTCATTATATACGTTTTCATCTTTTGCATATCGTATTCCATCTAACCAGATTGCTAAAACTTTACCACCAACGTTTTGAATATTCTTTAATCTATTAAAAGGAATCCACTCGATTATATCTTCATAAGATGTGGCTTTAAGTTGAAATCCCTTTATGCACTCGTCGATATCCTTATTTCCACTTGTCCATCCTTGTATTGTTTTCTGAGGGTCGCATGTTTGACACCAAGCTGGTGACGTGTTATTTCGCTTGCAATTGGCACATTGTCCATAGATTGCATATCTTTTAGAACCAAATTCATCAAATACCAGCATATATTCATTTGTGGTTATATCTTGAGTTAATCCATAGATATTTTTATTCTCTAATTGACTCTTTAATTGACCCTCTAATTGCTATATTAAATATATTATAGTATATTAACATACAAATCAAGTAAGTTACATATAATAAAATAATATAAACTTACTTCTTTTAAATTAGTTTCTATTCCTGTCAATATTTTAAGCTCCACTTTATATGATGGCATACGTGACTGTGTATATCCATATTCATTATCATAATCATCAAGATTTACATATCGTAATCCATCTAACCAAGTTGCTAGAACTTTATCTCCAATATTTTGAATATCATCTAATCTATTAAAAGGAATCCACTCGATTACATCTTCATATTTTGTAGCTTTAAGTTGAAATTCCTTCATACATTCGTCGATATCCTTATTTCCACTTGTCCATCCTTGTCTTGTCTTGTAAGGGTCGCATGTTTGGCACCAACAGTAAGATGTGTTAGATCTCTTGCAATTTGCACATGTTCCATAACCTTCACGTCTCTTAGAACCAAATTCATCAAATACTAACATATACACATTCATTGTACTGCTTTGAGTTAATCCATATATTTTAAGATCACTATTCTTCAACTGTACATAATCTATAAACTTATAAATATTTAAATATGTATTAAAAGAAAACTATATATTGAGAACAATGATTAAATATTTTAACTTACTTCGTTCAACATTTCCGATAAACTTGGTGTTCTAGTTAATGTTTTAAGCTCCACTTTATATGATGATAAACGTGACTGTGTACATACATCACTATATTTATCTTTTATATATCGTGTACCATCTAACCAGGTTGCTAAAACTCTATCTTCAATATTTTGAATATCATCTAATCTATTAAAAGGAATCCATTCTATTACATCTTCGTATTTTGTAGCTTTAAGTTGAAATTCTTTAATGCAATCATCAATATCCTTATTTCCACTTGTCCATCCCTGTGTTGTCTTCTGAGGGTCGCATGTTTGACACCAAGCTAGAGACGTGTTATGTCGATTACAATTTACACATTTTCCATAATGTTCCTTTCTTTTAGAGCTAAATTCATCAAATATTAACATATATTCATTTGTGGTCGTGTCCTGAGTCAACCCATAGACACGTTTACTCTCTAATTGTACATGATTTTTAAACTTAT